ACCAATGACTAAGCAAGTGGAAGCAAAGATAAATGAGACTACATGAAACTAAGAAGCTTCTGCACCTCAAAAGAAATAGTGACCAAGATGCAAAGACAGCTCACCAGTTGGGAAAAAATTATTTATCCAGTACTCATCATATAAGATGTTACTATCAAAGGTATAAGGCACGGTAGAATTTTACAAGAAAAACAGCCAACTCCATCAAAAATTGGGAGAAGAAATAAACAGAAACTTACTCAAAGAAGAAACACAAATGACAAAAGACACATGAGAAAATGTTCTACATTGCTAATCATTAGGAAAATGCAAATTAAAGCAACAATGAGATATCATCTTCCACCACAGAAATTGACATACATCAAAAAGAACAAGAGCAACCAGTGTTGCAGTGCAGGAGTGGATATGGGGAGAAAGGGTCTCTCACTCATTGTTGGTGGGAATGCTGACTAGTCTAGCATTTTTGTAAAACAATATGGGTATTCCTCAAAAAGCTAGAAACTGAGCTTCCATAAGACTCATCAATACCACTTCTGGGAATATACCCCATGGCACACAGCTGAAATTCCATCTGTACTTTTATGTTTATTGCAGCACTATTCATGATATCCAGAATCTGGAAACAAACTAAGTGCCTACAAATAGACGAATGGATAAAGAAACTATGGCATATTGACACAATGGAATATTACATAGCTGTTAGGAAAAATGAAGTCACGAAATTTGCCTATAAGTGAATGAACCTGAAGCATATTGTGCTGAGTGAAATGAGTCAGAAGGAGAGGGACACATATAGAATGACTGAATTCATTTGTGGTATACACATACATCACACATGTATGGTATATCCATTGTAGAAGACTAATATATAGGTATATTTACACACACACACACACACATATATATATATATATATATATATATATATGAAGAATAATATCCATGGCCAGGGAAAACAGAGATTAGAATATAGGAGATCTGGTCAATGGTTGGAATCAACCACAAGTATGTGTAGGGCAGAGGGTAGATAAGATATAAAATACACCATTATAATGATAATAATTATAAATGATCACACTGGACAAGAACTGAGAGTTAAAAGTAGATAAAGAGGTATTTCTGATAACCTTTCAGTATCTGTATGGAAAACCACAATGCCCCAGAGGGGGAGGGAGAGGGGGAGATACACACACACACACACACACACACACACACACACACATAAAGAAAGAGAGAGAAGAGAGAAGAAAAGTGGCTGGCATAGAAGTAGGCTGGGAGATGAGGGTTGGGAGGGTGATGGGAGGGAAACTGGGGACACTGGTGCTGGGAAATGTACTCTGGTGTAGAGATAGTTGTTGGAACACTGTATGACTGAAACTTAATCATGAATACCTTTTTAAGGATCTAAAAATAAATAAAAGTAAATTAAAAATTGAGCTTCCAACTGACCCAGCAATTATACTTTTGGATATCTATCCCCAGAACAGAAAAATATTCATTTAAATGGAAATAAAAACACCATGATTAATTGCAGCACTCAGTATAATAACTAAGATTTGGAATCACTTAGATGTGCAACAAAGGATGATATCACTTATATGTGGTATTTAAAGCAACTAGATGAACAAAGCCAATAGTTTAAAGTGGGGATGATGCCTAGATCACCCTTGGTACCAATGTACCAGGAAGGAGAAGAAGAAAAAGGAGTTAGTAAGGTAGGGATGGGGGAGAAGGGACAGTTGTGAAGCAACAGGCATAGGGTCAAGATACATCAGTGGTGTTAAAGAATTATAGAGCTAAGTAGCCAAACCACAGAGTCAACAACACTGAAATCATGAGACCCAAACTTTAACAACCAAACTGAAAAGGCTCCTGTGGAGATGGCAGGCTGGGCAGGAGGTAGAATAGGAACACTGGAGGGGTTAAGTTGACACTGGTGGCAGGACTGTTGATGAAACATCGTATGCCTAAAAACCCAACCACGAAAACTTTGTAAATAACAGTGCTTTAATAAGAGAAAATTTGGAGAGAAAACCAAGCCATATATTATGTATAAAACTATTTATGACAATAAATAAAATTTTTAAAAGAAAATAAGCCACAAAATTGAAAAAATATTCACAATATACATATCTGACAAAACATAGGTATCCAGAAGACATAAAGGATACTGAAAAAGTTCTGGAGTTTATGTTGCTAGAAATAACCCAATATTCAAATGGAAAAATACTTAAATATATACATTATAAATAAAGACATTATAATTATCTACATATTTGCCACATGAAATAATATTCAGCAACTTTAGTCTTCAAAGAAATACAAATGTGAACTTAGTCAGGTACCATCCATACTGACTAAAATAGCACAAATTAAGAAGCATACTACTCCAAAATAAACCATATAATCACTTTCGGAGGTTCCTTGACAAAATTACTAACAAAGTTAAACACGTTACTATAACTCAGAAATTGTTAAGAGAAATAAAAATCTATATTCATAGAAAGTCAGCCGTTTTACTTATATTAGCCAAAAACTAGAAACAACTTTAAGGGCTATCAATGCCGAAATGAATGAACAAATTCTGATATAATTGTACAGTGGAGCACTTATAATAAAAAATTTAATTATGCAATAGTATACGAAATACAAAAATCATTACAAGTATAAAATGAAGACACGAAAGGGCCTATGCTTAGTTCTATTTATATGAAATTTGTAAACAAGGTAAAACTACACTAAACTGACACAAATCTAACCACCAACTTGGGCTCATAGTAAGCAAAACATGTACTGATGAAACTAAAATACTAAAAATGTTCTCATAATCGACAAAAGTGAGTATATGGAAAAAGTCACTTAAAATCTATGCTTACTTAATATTTTCACATTATGCTAAATGTATATTTTAATTTTAAGAAATTAATAATAAACTATAAATCTAAAATATAAAGTTATCATATTTATATATATTATAGTATAGTATATTATAATATATAATATATATTTATATATTATATATTATATAATATTTATTATATATTTATATCATATATCATAAAGTCATAGTATTCAAAAATTAAACACTATGCATGATAATTATGGTAAAACAGGTATTTACCTACCCAATAATATACAGGTTTTTAAAATCTAATTTGTAAGACTGTAATTAATATCCATGATTAGATTAAAATATATTTAGACTTTTGAGGTATCCCTGGTGGTCCTCAGCATCTAACCATTAGGCAAAACCAGCTAATCTAGGAATGTTCCCTGGGCCCATTAACACAGGTGTGAAGACTCTAAAGTTTATAAATAATAATAAAAATGCAAATAAATCAAGAAAACGTGGTCAAAAGGGAATATTTAACTTTTCCATTCAAAACAAACATACTTATTGAACAGCACTATGTGCCAATGCAAGAATAAAAATATCCATTCTAAAGCTTTTGCTTAGTGTTTAGTTTTAATGTCAAGTTATTCAAATTATTTTTAAAAGTTATTTAAGTCCAATTTCTCAACTGCAATAGTCACTGCTAAAGTAATTGCCTAGCTATCTTGGAGGTGGGGTACTAGATAAATGTAAAGGCAAGAGTTAAACAGCTTTCTCTTGAATTAGCTAGGTGCCTAGGCAATTAACCTAATAAGCTCTGGTTTGCTCATTAATAAAATGAGGTAAAGTTGCTATACTTTTGTGAACATTAAATGAATTAACATGTGTAAAGTGCTTAGATGTGTTCAGCACAAGGTAAACATGAAATAAATATGAACTATTATTACTGAAATTATGCAGCAACAGGAGTTATTGTTGAAGTGCCCAGGTTTTTTTTGAACGACTTTTTTGACAAATATTTTGACTTGAGAGTATTTTTTATATATTCTGATGGACTTTTGGACAACCAAAATGGATACATTTTTCCTCCAATTACATGTTTATTTCAATGATTAGCAATTGAATTATCTAAAATTCACTCACTCAGGGTATCAAGAGTGTAATGTTTTGTGCCTGTCATTACATGAAAGATAGGTAAACAATTTGTTTTTAAACCTCTAAAATATTAAGTAAGCTCTGTCTTGTCTGATGGTTTTCTTTTAATTAGAGGTAAGTACTCATAATTTTTTGATATTCAAAATAGTATCTAGTACAATGATTCAGACACAGCTTATCAATAGCTGACTTTCTGTTTGGATAGCTAAGTGGATGGATGAAAATCGATTTTTTAAAATGAATGTTGGACTCTGTTTGCTGAAGTGCTAAATATGTGACCTTAAGTGATAGAAAATAAATCAATTTGAGATACTACCTTTCACAACCATAATCATGGCAATCATCTTCTTAATTTAATATCTTTAGTGCTAAAGTCATTAATAATGCTTAAAGACTAAGCATTTTATTGTGCTTCAAAACATAGATAAACTAAATATAGCAAGTACAATTCAGTACTAATTTTATGCATGGAATATAACTACCATAAATAGTCTTAGTAGGATCAAAGTTGGTGGCCAATTATAGCTCTTCTATATTGTTCAGTCTTTGATTATGGAATATAAGTTTACCCTATTGAAGAGCATGAAAGAGTCTTGCCCATTTATTACTGCTTTACATTTTCCCCTCTTTTTTCTCAAATACAATTAGAAATACCAGAGCAATCGTTCATCATTTTGGGTCTCTGGAGATTAAAAGGATGACCTAAAGGACTACATTAGGTTATATGGACAAATAAGGTAATTAGTACAGTGAATAATTTAGGATTATTTACTTGGCATTTTTTTGTCCTGTTGGGGTTTGGTGCAGAACACAAATTAAAACTGTCATCACTGAGTACTAATTTTGACACACAGATCCAGAATGTGACATTTTACACACACCTATAGATTCAGTTCTTATTCTTTCAAGATAAACTTTTATCCCCGACCAGAAAATATAACAGTATTGATTGTTCTAATTTTTAAATATTTCCTGATACTCATAGTATATAAATGTCTGAGTTTTTTATTACCTGAACAAGAGCATGAATCTTAATGCCAGATTTTTTGATGAGACCATAATATTTTTCCATTTGATCATTCTGATCGTCCATAGATAGAGAGAATTCTTTTCTTTCTTTTCTTTTAAATATCGGAGATACCCATGTTTTCATAATGTCTTGGATTTCTTCCAAGTTGTTTTTAGTTTTCTGAATTCTTTGCTCAAGATCATGAATATTATTGGTGATTTGGATCACATAATGCCAAATACCTGTTTCTCAAAATATATATCATTAACAGAGTTTACAATACATATCTAAAAGTTCAAACTTGTTTTGAAATTTGGGTATTTTACTCATGGTTTTTGCATAACTTTTATGCATATTTTACTTATTACCAGGACATTTTCTTTCCTAGTTACATCAAAATGTCGGCTTTTATCATTACTCTGATTATGAAGGGTAAATGAGCAATCAAAATTTTTTGCAATTTTGTCCCCCTTTAAATTCCCCCATTAGCTTAGTATCTCTGGGGTTAAAAAAGCAAAAATAGATTGGCCTGAGGCTTGTTGTCTGGAGAATATAATACTTCTCTTGGAGAAGCCACTAGCCTTTACACTGATAGGATCCCTACCCAGTGGGAACAATACTGAGAAGTAGACTATCTACTGGAGCTGTCATTGATCTACTGTTACCTTTCTCATGACCCTATTAAACACCATGTCCATAACTGATGCTTCTCTGTATTTTCTGTACATGTCATTATGTCAATATGCTTCTCACTAATGCATGCTAATATATTTAGTATTCATGAATTTTCCTGAATATGTATAGATCAAATACATTACCCTAACTGTAGCATTGTAGCACTGTCTTCCTGTTGCTCATCGATTTGCTTGAGCCGGCCCAGTAACTTCTCCATTCTGAGACTTGTTGTTACTGTGTTTGGCATATCGAATACATCATGGGGTGCTTGCCAAGCTCTGCCATGAGGATGAGATACTCTTGGTAGCTTGTCGAGCTCTCCAAGAGGGACAGAGAATTCGAACCTGGGTGGACTGGATTGGCTGCATGCTAGGCAAACGCCCTACCTGCTGTGCTAACTATTGGCATAAAACTGATTCTCAATTCAAAGCTTATTCTACAGCTTATGTTGACTAGGTTCCCAGCTTAAGTTGTTCTTTCTTTTCTTTCTTTCTTTCTTTCTTTCTTTCTTTCTTTCTTTCTTTCTTTCTTTCTTTCTTTCTTCCTTCCTTCCTTCCTTCCTTCCTTCCTTTCTTTCTTTCTTTCTTTCTTTCTTTCCTTCTTTCTCTACTTACATTTTTATCTTCTTAATACTTTGATTTATAAGTACTAGTATTCCATATTTATTAACTCTTAACATGATCACTGTATCACTGTCATCCCGTCTTTCATCAATTTACTCGAGTGGGCACCAGTCTCCATTCGTCCCAGCCCTGAGATTTTAGCAGCCTCTCCTTAAGTATCTTTCCCAACGCTGCCATATTGGAGGCACTTTCAGGGTCAGTGTAATGAGGCCCATTATTGTTACTGTTTTTGGCATATCGAATATGCTATGGAGTAGCTTGTCAGGCTCTGCAGTGCGGGCAGGAAACTCTCGGTAGCTTGCTGGGCTTATAGACATAGTAATTGTGGGCAGTGGGGTGGCAAACCCTGACTGTGCTCAGGGCTTACTCCTAGCTCTTTCTTTGCTCAGGGATCCCTCCTGGTTGTGCTTTGGGGGACTGCCAGTGACACCAAGTATTGAAATGGGGTGAATCATATGCGAGGCAAGTGCTTCTCTCCCTTCTAATATCTCTCCATTTCTTAAGTTGTTTTCCCTTATGTTAGTTGTTTTCCCAGTTTTCTCTTTTAAGGTGTTTACAGTCTAGTTAATAAAACTTCTAAAAACATAGCAAAAAACATTTTATATAGAATGTAGTGCCCAATATGTGTTGAAGCTCATGTGGTCTGTTAGCCTCCTACAGTGCACAGCAGTTTAGCACTTTATTCAGTGGATTTCAGCCAGTTCTTCATTATGCCCATTCAACCTTATTTAGGCATAAGACAACCAACTAGTGGGGTAATTACTACCTTTTGAAAAAAACTAAAATACTTTCATGTGAAGAATGTAAACAAAATTTTGAAAGTAAAAGTGAAACTATCCATATGTGTATTTTTATTGAGTAGAGAAATCTATTTCCAACATACAGAAACAAAGTATGTGCATTATTTCTAAATCTACCAGTCATATAAAAGGTGATGTCAGATGAGAAATAGAAACCTCCTTGCATTCTCTTTTATATATGTGTGAGGAGAAAATCTCCTTTTGCTTCAAATCTCATTTACATTGCTGAGCAGTAATTTGAGGGTTGACCTCTTCATTTAGATTTTCAACGTTTAACCTTCCCCCAGACATTCTGCCCTGTTACCTTCTGTTTTCCAGTTCAGAGTCTCCTCTGCAGCTCTTAAGCAGAAGTCGATATTTTCCAGCTCCTTCTCCACTAATGGAAATTCTACCTCTAGCAGAGTTTTCATCAGCTTGTTGTACCAATTTGTCATCAACTCCAAATTAGCCACAAGCTGTCGATAGAATTCCCTGGAGGAGAACATGGTTGCTGCAGTCTCAGGGATATGCTTCATCTGCCTGGGTTCAAGGTAACTCATTTCTTTCAGCACAGAAATCAGCTGGGGAAAAGATTAGACATGTTCAAACAATTTAAGGAAATGGACATATGAAAAAAATCTCTACATTATTAATAGCTAAACAAATAAAAATTAAAATAATATTGAGGTTATTTTTAGTTTAACAGGCTAGAAATTATTTGATAAAATAAAAAAGTCATTGAAACCTCTAATGTTTCATCGGACAATAATTTTTAATTTATTTATTCTGTTGCTACTAAATCCAAAGTTCCATTTAGAGAGGCCTTAGTGATTTCCATTTCCGGACCTCCTAGGATATTAAAACTTTATTCAATTGTCAACACAGGACTATAGATGTTGAGAGATATTCCAAGTGACTATATTGGGCTGGAGCGATAGCACAGCGGTAGGGCGTTTGCCTTGCATGCAGCCAACATGGCCGACCCGAGTTTGATTCCTCCGCCTCTCTCGGAGAGCCCAGCAAGCTACCGAGAGTATCTCCCCCGCACGGCAGAGCCTGGCAAGCTACCCGTGACGTATTCGATATGCCAGAAACAGTAACAACAAAGTCTCCGATGGAGATGTTACTGGGCCCGCTCGAGCAAATCGATGATCAACGGGAGGGCCTTTACCTTTACCTTTTTATATTTGACAATGTTGCACGTTGGGCATCTCCTCTCAACCCTGCCAATGACCTCATTGAAAACCCAAGAGGCCTAAATTTGAGACTTCTTACTTGTGTGAGTAGCAGTCACAGGTTCATTCTCTTTCAAACCATGTCCCTCAAGTAGGCTACATCATCACAAGCTTACTGTTCCATCTGCCACATGCTTGAAAGCATCCAGTAAAATTCTCCCTTTTGTGATCATTTCCTTTCTCAGCTTTTTCTCCTCCTCGTCCTAATTTACAAATTTGGTAAACATTGTTGCTTTAGCAGCTCTTTCCCTTTGGTTTAATATGTAATTTCCCTTATTTCTGGTAATTTCCTTCTTTATGTTTTTCTTTGTTTTATGCTTAAATCTATGAAGACTAGTGTCTGCATATATATATACATGTACATCTCTATATAGATGAATGACCAAACATCTATCAAAGGTTGTCCTTGCGTCCTCACCCTCAGGTCTTAAGATCTCTGGGGTCTTAGCTCTCCTTCAGTGGCTCTAGGGAAGTTCCTCGTTATTCCCATTCAACTTTATTTAAGCAAATGACTACCAATTATGTGGTAATTACTACAATTTGAAGACACTCAAAAATGTTCATGTCCACTGTCCACTGTTCACTATCCTCCCGTGGTTCATTCATTTGCTCGAGTGGGCCCAGTAATGTCTCCATTGTGAGACTTGTTGTTATTGTGTTTGGCATCACGGGTAGCTTGCCAGGCTTTGCGGCGTGGTCGAGATACTCTTGGTAGTTTGCTGGGCTCTCTGAGAGGGGCAGAGAAATCCAACCCAGCTCGGCCGGACTGGCACACGCAAGGCAAACTCCCTACCACTGTGCTATCATAATGTAAATAGAAGTTTGAAAGCAAATGTGAAACTATTCATATATGTATTTATATTGAGGCAGAGAAGTCTATTCCCAACATATAGAAATATTTTGTGCTTAAAATGGCTACAGTTAATATAATAGTATATTCTAATGGTGAAAATATTTGTGACATATTTCCAAATAACTTACAAATACTTTCCAAATATTTTAATAAATTCAAAAGCATAGTGGGAACTTGTATTAGAAAATAAGCAAAGGTCAGGTTCAAGCAATTTTTAGAAAAAATATAAAAAGCCAATGAACATCTTAAAAAGCTCTTCTTAACTAGTTAAATAAATAAAAATTAAAATAATATTGAGGTTATTCTTAGTTTAACAAACTAGAAATTATTTGATGAAATAAATACTGTATTTTACTATATTTTACTGTTAGAATTACTGAATTTCCATTTGGAGAAGAACAAGCTGGTACTATTTATAAAATATATAAAATATGAATGAACTTGAGCCCAGTATTCTGAATTCTAGATCCCAAAGAAAGAAAACAAAGAAAAAATAGCTACAGGCATTTATTGTAGCATTATTCTTTCCATTATTTTATCCAATATAAAATGTCATCAGTGCTAACATTCACTATTTTATATACAACTAAGGAAGAAATAAAAATAGACATATGCTATAATCTAGTCTTAGAAACACAGACTTGATAAAATAAAAAAAATCAATTAAATGCCCCCAAGACGGTATGTTTTAAAAGTATGCATGCGTGTGTGTGAGTGAGTGTGTGTGTGTGTGTGTGTGTGTGTGTGTGTATGTATTACATTTACATTTTATCAAAGAGTTCTTTTGAGTCACTTCTTGGTACTTGGGTGCTACTCCTAGATCTGTGCTCAGAGCTGAAAGTCATTGAATTAGACCTCCTACATGCAAAGCACATGTTCTGTCCTTTTAGATTCTACCTGGCCCCTTGCATACAACTCTTATCCTGGCCCCAAATGGGCAAATCTATAATTAATGTATATTCATTCTTTTTAACAGCAACAGTTTTTTTATTTAATTTTATTATATACCTTGATGGCATATATATATGTATATATATATATACATGTATATATACATATATACAAAAAACTCATTGCTGTCTTCTAGGTGGTTTAGGGGCATCGAATACCCGTGGTGTATTCGATATGCCCAAAACAGTTACAATACCAGGTCTCATTCCCCTGACCCTTAAAGAGCCTCTAATATGTCAGTGTTGGGAAGAATGAGTAAGGAGAGGTTGCTAAAATCTCAGAGCTGGGATGAATGGTGACATTATTGGCGCCCACTCAAGCAAATCAATGAACAATGGGATGACAGTGACAGTGACAGTGATATACCTTGGTGAATAAGCTAAGATACAAGATACTTTTCATAAAAATTTGCCTGGGAGACAAAACAAATTTTCTTATTTATAAAAAATAAGATAGCATACAAAACAAGAAACCTGTGTGCCACAGAGAACTTAGCACCATGGTGACTGGTCATCCCTTTTGTTGTTGCTGTTGTTGGGTGAGCCACACCTATGGTGTTAGGGGGCCACTCATAGCTGAGCTTAGGGAAACAGGTGTGCTGCCAGAGATTCAACCTGGGCTGACCACATGCAAAGGAAATGCCCTAATCCCTATACTATACTCTTTGAACTGATTGTTCTTTCTAAATAGTATACCTATTGCCACATTATTGAAAGTTAGAACTGAGGGGATACCCCTGGCTCTTCGCTGACTTGTACTCTTTATTTCTCTTCAACTATACTACAATTCAAATGCTTGTGCCAATCCCCTTTCATTTCCTTCTTTCTTTTCCCTCCATTTGCTTCTATTGTACTTGCAAATGCCTACAAAACATTTTATTATTTTATATTCTGGAATCAACATAATCCTTGCCCTTAGAACATATAGAGGAGTAGCTATGCATTTTCCTTTGATACTATTTTAAAAACTGAGGTTTAAATAACAGACTTATAAAATGTAGACAATTACCTAGTTGGAATGAATAGATATGCATTTCTTTGGGAATTTGGTATTCAATGTTGCTCACAGTGAATGCTTATAAAACTACTCCAAATACTTACAGGAGTTAAAAAAAGAAAAAATCAGACTCATATCTTGCTGAAAGTAAAGAAATGAGTCTCTCCACTTTAATTTCAGTCAGCATTGATGGTTTACTTAAGGAGCAATTTTTCCAAATGCTCTCAACTTAGTTTTCAGTTATTCCTAAATTTCTGGAGAATATGCCATCAAGACAGAAGTTGGTGATTGCTTTTAATTTAGTGTGGATAATGTTTTCATTTTTGGCCAAGTGATACAATTTCTGACATTGACTAAGCTTTTTATCATTTCCTTCAGTAGTGATCTTTCTGTGGCTCCAATAGTCCACAAAGGACCTCTACCCATCTCATCATCAGAATGATATTTTCAGTCTCAACTCTGGTATTTTAAAACAAAACAAACACATAAAGAACAAATAAAAACTCACTGCTGTCTTCTAGGTGGTTTGAGGGCATCCCTGATATTCGTTTCCAAGTGCTACTGTCATACCCCTCTATGTTTGATAACCAGAATTATCTCCAAGAAAATATACTGTAAGGTCCCTTGGAACCCCCAGGGAGATTCCAGAGTTAAAACTCTACTCTCCCTTTCCTGTCCCTTTCCTGTCCCCTCCCTAGTAGAGCTTTAGAGTGAGACCTTTAGGCCCTTCTTTATTGGGATGTAAATTCTGAAGCCATTTGTTGACTCCTCCTTGCTGGGATGTAAATTCTGAAACTATTTGTTGACTCTTCCCTGTTGAGATGTAAATTCAGAAACCATTTGTTGGTGCTTCCTTATCTGTTACCTCTGTTAGGAACTTTTCCCTGAAGCCCTGAGCTCAGAATCAAAGGGAACAAAGAAGATAAGCAAATGTCCCAGTTACCAGATGCCCACTAGCCACAATGCTGATCTTTGAATCTATAGGCTAAGGAGTGATGTACTTTTAAATGGATTGGTTAAGAAAGTATATGTTGTTACAAATCTATTGGCTATGAAATGCGCGGGCTTTGCTGTAACGGCCAGTGAAGGCCTATATAAGATCCCCTTTGAAGAAGTTCAGTGTCTTGCCTGATGGCTTGACCCTGGCTAGCCAGCTCAATAAACTACCTGCTTGCTGATTGCATTCCTTGTGGACCTTGCTTGTGGTCAGAGATCCAGAGTCATGCCCTAACAATACATGTTATTTGCAATTCTTCTAAGTAGTTTGTGGGTTTCCTGAGGGTACCAGATTGACTATATCTCCAACATCTACTTAACTGTCATTTACATGTGCTCAGTATTCAAAACAGGTCCAGTGGACCTGTTTGGAAATAAATTGTGATATTCTGCAATATATTTTGCTAAACAAAATCCAAGAAAATATACTGTTGGGGCTGGACTGAGCCTTCAGAATTCACCCATGTAGACTGCACCACACAATGGGCAGGAACATAAGGACCCATGAAAACTGGCAAAATTTCTCCTGTGTCCTGACTGGTTTGGATGAAGCTGAACATTTTTTCCTTTAGACTGCCTTCAGTAAATAATTTCATAGATTTCAGTATATTGAAAGAGGCAGTTTTCCTTTTCTCACAGAAGCCTGGCTGGTCTTTGACATCCAGATCTCAGGTGCTAGCCAGGCCTGGTCTTTGACTTGTAGATTCCTGGCTCTAGTCCAGCCTAGTCTTTGGGACGCAAATTTCAGATTCTTGTCCAGCTTGTCTTTGGGATGAAAACCCAAATGCTTGTAGCCCAAGAAAGGTTTCAGTTTCAGTTTTGTGTTTCTTTCTAGAGTCCAGAATCCACTGACCTGCAGATGCAAGGAAACAATACATGCCTTCCTCAATGTTCTTTCTGTAACATCTTTTGATGATGTCGCCGTCACTGTATTGAGCCCTTTAGAGGTAGCACTGTAGCACTGTCCTCCAGTTGTTCATCAATTTGCTCGAGCAAGCACCAGTAATGCACCAGTAACGTCTCGATTGTGAGACTTGTTGTTACTGTTTTTGGCATATCGAATATGGCATGGGCAGTTTGCCAGGCTCTGCCATGTGGGTGGGATACTCTCCGTAGTTTGCCAGGCTCTCCGAGAGGGAGGGAGAAATCGAACCCGGGTCAGCTGCATACAAGGTAAATGCCCTACCAGCTGTGCTATCACTCAGAGGTATAATGATTAATAAAGAGATCTCAGGAACACTCTGCCTTTTGTCACAGGATCAGAGAGAGTTCAGTGATTCTCCATGAATATAATTTCTCTCCCGTTCCTTATCTCAGGGCTTCTGGCTGAATGAACATTCATACAACAATATACCAGTCATGTCAACATTTTCTCATAATGGATAACTTAAAATGTTAAACTACACTTCTCCCTGTTCCCCAAAAGGAAATCTAAGATGTAAATTCTTTGAAGCATTTTTTGCACATTCTTAAAAAGTATTTTACATATAAAATGGAATTAAACAAAACTTCAAAATCCAGAAGTTTCTGTCACCCTACTTACCTGTGGGTTAAAGTTGACTGTGATCTGCTTTGTCTCTGGATCGCGTTTCAGAAGTGACTGAGAAAGATTGTATTGTGACTTCTCTGATACTGTATCACACCAATCTTCATAGAGTCTTGTCTCATATCTGTGATATCAGAGTTAATAACCACTTCAAAAATACTTCCCACCTCCCCAAACCTGCTACCTGTCAATATTTGATGAAAGTATTTATATGACAAATTTATGACAACACGTAAAATCTTTATTGATATGATAACATATGTATCTATTAAAAGTTCACCTTACACAGCTTCACTTTCATGAAAGGCCTTATTGGTACCTGTTTTTACTAAGTAAAAAAGTCAGAATCTGGGGCTGGAGCAATAGCACAGCAGGTAGGGCATTTGCCTTGTACACGGCCGATGGGGGTTGGATTCCCAGCATCCCATCTGGTCCCCTGAGCACTTCCAGGAGTAATTCCTGAGTGCATGAGCCATGAGCAGCCCCTGTGCATTGCCAGGTGTGACCCAAAAACAAAACAAAACAAAAAGTCAGAATCTGATTTTCAATTTTAAAGCAAAAATATTACATACAGAATTTAGTTTGCAGAAGTATTTATTCTGTAGTATGATCAGCGACAATGATCCCACCAATTTCCTTTCCTAGAAAATACTTTCTACTGAAACTCAAACATGAACGGTTTCTCAGCTATATCTCACGGTGATTCAATTAAAAAATACTTTCTATAGGACGCATATTTATCATCACTCCCACTTTTATTAGTTATGGGTGTCATTTATATTTTGTGCAACATTTTAGATGACTGGATAAGTTATTTTTAGGTGCTGTGAATATTCAAAACCTTTTCCATATAATTGAATGATAATATTACTTTCCTCTATATCATTTCAGCTTATCAAATATTTCATGAAAATATACTATCTCAGGATGGTAAAAGAAAAATCTGCATATGTATATATTGTAGCACTGCACTGTCCTCCAGTTGTTCATTGAGTTTGCTCGAGTGGGCATCAGTAACGTTTCAACAAATTGTGAGACTTGTTGTTACTGTTTTTGGCTTATCGAATATGCCACAGGGAGCTTTTGAGGTTCTGCCCAGCAGGCAAGATACTCTCGGTAGCTTGCGGGCTCTCTGAGAGGGGCAGAGGAATTGAACCCAGGTGGGCAGCATGCAAGGCAAATGCCCTATCCACTGTGCTATTGCTCCAGCTCATGTATATATTATGAACTGAAAATACAGTTGTATAATAAATAAATATATCTTAAGTCAAAATCATTGACTCAGCCAGGCATGGCAGTTTCAGTAGAATCCACTCATTTCTAATAGTGCATTATCTTAAAGCAGGGGATGCTAAAGAGGATCTTTTGGAAAAATAAAATGAATTGTGATTAGTATCAATAAGTGTTGGAAAAACTTACTACGATTTGTTTCCATATTACTCTCCACAATGTTCATGATCATTACCATACTCTAGGTTTGAGGATAAAAGGATAAATAAACACCTCATTTAACTGCTGCCAGTGAAGAGTGTAGGAAGTGTATTTTAGAGATGTAAAGGACACTAAGCACTTAATGACAGAAATTGATGAGGGAGGGTGACAAAATACAAGGAAAAGTTTCATGGAAGTAGAGCTCAAGTGATACTGACGAAGTTTCTGCTGAGTAGATGATGGGGTAAAAAGCATTCTTGGCAGAAGAAAAATTGCTGAACTATAGAAGTGAGGGACAACAGACGGATGGAAATAATGAGTAGAGTTCTGTAGGTGTGATATGGGGCAGAGGGGCAATACTGGAGAGGGAGGTTGAAGCCGCACCAGGAAAAGCTTTTCAGATGACATTCAGAAGATGAAGGTGGTGCTGAAAGGCCAACTCCAGTCAAACTAGCAATATCAGATTGGATGACAGTGCAGACATATAGGCACTAGACCCACCCCAAAACCTACTGGAGTTTTAAAGCAGAAAGAGTGTATGCCCATATAAAATGTTCATTCTTATGTTTTCTCCATAAAAGGACTCAGGAAACAGTTTTAAAGTGTATTCTGTATTAGAACATACTAAATCGTTGATTTCTGCTTAGTGAGCTGCTACTAAGATTCTCTGAGATAATGATCTTGGAGTAATATAAAGAGTAACCCCCTTTTACTACCTCAGTCAAGCAGGTCATGCTCCCAATAAAGCTGCCCTGGAAAAGTAACTGTTTCTAGAATAGTCACATCCCCCAGAGCTATATGTTTGTACCCCAGAACACTGTTTATAAGCATCATGGTTATAACATAAAGCACAGATTGACATTTCACTGTCACTAGGGAATCTGTAAAAATTCAGAACTACAAAAGGCACTGCTGGGACCATGAAATTTTCAGGCCACTAACATCCCACAAACTGCTTACTTTTCCAGCAGTGAGATCATGTCTTCATATTTTTGTATCATTTGCTTTCCTTCAGCAGATTCTAGGCATCTACTCAGATGAAAAAGAAAAAAATGACAGAATCAGAAGTCAAAATAATGATTTGGATAACAAGTAGCAGGCTATAAAGAAACGATTTAATTCTTTTCTGTTCACAAATGTCCTAAAATGAGCCTCCAGTTTTCTTTTCTTACTTTTGGAGCCTCCCTAAGGGTTCTCAGGAGGTCCAGATTGGCCTCAACAGTGGTTTCTTTCCCACCTGGACCTACATTTCAATGCAAGGGTGTAAAAACCTGGGTGTAAAATGCTGCTTGGGGTCTGTGGTGTCAGGGATTAATTACCCTTGCAACCCTCCAGAGTCTCCAGAGCGGCATTGAGACATTCAAGGGACCATGTAGTACCAGGGAAACTAGTCCAACTTCACGCTAGGCATACACCATGACCACTAAACTGACTTCCTGTAGCCTTCATTTTTTCCCCTTGGCATCCTCCACAGGCTGTTCGAGGGCATCTGCACCTCCTGGGATAAAGGCAGCTCCACAGATGAAAGGTGGCAAACCTTTCCTGGCAGAACTCCAGTAATCCATGCTCACTAAATCTGGACTGATTAAGTACAGAAAAATCAAATTCTTCAAAATGTTAAAAATGGAAACATATATGAAAAAGTCTAAATAGTTTTTTGATTTAAGAAAAAAAACTGCCAATGTTTTTTTTAGAGAACATGATATAGACAGGTGTCTATACATGCAATATTTATATATCTATATGGAAATATATTTGTATACTTGTATATACATGTATAGAAAGAGACAATGCACATAAATATAAATGTTGTCATAGATAAAACATTTTTTCCCTTTCACTGATACCCATCTATGACATAGGTTGATATAATGAGAAATTCTTCCTCACTGACATGTTTGCATGCGGTTCTCTATCACCACTTATACCCTCAAATGTATGTACACACACACACACACACACACACACACACACACACACACACACGGGTTTCCAAAGGAGTGCTAATGGTCACAGAGGACAGGAAAGCAGTCTTGCAAAACACATCACTCATAGCATTTACCCTGTTATGACACTCTTTTTTAACAAAAAATGAGAGTCTAGCTGCTGGGAAAATTGGTAAAATACCTGTAATTTCCAGAAACATTCATATGGTGTCAAAAGGTCTGTTTTCATTTCATTCGGCTAAGAAGGCAAAGTCATTTTTTCTTTAAACCAACACAGGGTTATTTCATAAGGTCCTCTGAGCTTTCAGTATAAGCATACATGTTTGCAGATAAAGAACTGAATTTGCCAAATTTTCCTTAAGTCCCTCAGTTTCCTTTCATGATAATGAAACAGACACATCTGTGTCTGTGGGGCATCAAGGAAAAGTGGAAATAACTTCAAATCAGGTAAGCAGCATCACACCCAGAAGCCTTAGAAACCCTGATGGGTCTCAGTTTAATGAATGGAAAACATTAAGGTGAGAATAGAGAAATGCATTATCTAAAAAAAATAACAGAAATAGATGCTACAAAACTCCATTCCAATTACACCTCACTTCACTGTGAGATTAAACACTCTACCATGAAGACATTCAGAGTACCTTGTGGGACCAGACACTCCTACCCACCACCTCCCACACAGCAGCCAGCCAGGAGAGTTAGCTAATCACTGTTTCCTCCTTGGGAACAGTCTTAGTCAAAAAAAGCCATCTCATCTAAAATTCCACCTTTTGACCACCTCATCAAATTCTCCCACGCTTCAATCTCCCACCCGTCAATCCTCCACTTGTGGTTTTAACAAACTAAGCACGAATTTGTGCTCTCTCTTTAATTTGGTTGTTTTTCTTTTTCTTTTTTTTAATTATACAAGGCAAAGCCTGGCAAGCTACCCGAGATGTATACCAAACACAGTAACAACAAGTCTCACAATGGAGACATTACTGGGTCTGCTCGAGCAAATCGATGAACAATGGGAGGACAGTGACTGTGACCGTGACATAAGTAAGATAATATATTATTTCACTTTAACTTATTCCACTTAGCATAATCTCATGATTCAATAATTTACAAAGAATAGAATTTTCTTCTTTTACATGTTCAAGGAGAATTTCATTTTATGTACAGATATGTATGTAAATTTATAAGTATTTATCACTTATTCTTCACTTAATCTTAACCATTTAATCCCCGTTATTCATCGATTTATTCGAGCGGGTGCCAGTAACGTCTCCATTCATCCCGGTTGCGTGCAAGCATAGCCCAATGGTATCTGTTTGTTCTAGGAACATGCAGAGCCTCAAACCGATCATTTAGCATCTTGACGAAGAACTCTGACCATCTTATAGGTGGGCGTCCACGTGATCTTTGATGTCCCGTGGAATCTAATCAGTAATGGCTCTAGTCCAGCGGTTGTCTGTAAACCTCATTACGTGTCCAGCCCATCTGATTTTTGATGTCTTGGCAAATGAGACAGCGTCCCTGATTCTTGAGCGTTGACGAAGATCAGAACTCTGGATTCTATCTCTCATTTGAGTGAATTGTGATATTCCAAGCATAGTTCTTTCAATTCCTCTTTGAGAGACCCGAATAGCGTTCTCATCTTGTTTTCGTAGGGTCCAGGTCTCTGAGGCATATGTTATTGCAGGAAGAATAGTGGAATCAAAGAGATGTGCTCGTAGCTGGAGGTTCTTTGTCCTTTTAGTTATTTCTTCAATGCTCTTGAAGGCATTCCAAGCCGCTCTCTTCCTCCTGCGCAACTCAGGTGCCAGGTCATTCATCATGTTGATTTCTCGACCTAGGTATATATAACTGTTGCATTCGGAGATGGTGGTTCCGTTGAGAGCGAATGGAGCTTCAGGAACAAGGCTGTTTCTCATAAACATTGTCTTCGTAAGATTCAGCTGTAGTCCGACCTTTCCACATTCACGGTCAAAGTCGTTCAGCATTTGTGCTGCTTGGCTGATGTTTGGTGTTATTAGAACGATGTCATCAGCAAAGCGGAGGTGGTGTAGTTGCCGACCATCTATCTTCACTCCCATGTTTTCCCATTCTAGTCGTCGCATGATGTTCTCGAGGGTGGCACTGAAGAGTTTTGGTGAAATGGTATCACCCTGCCGAACCCCTCTCTTGATATGGATGATTACTTCTTTGTAGAATGGTGAGATCTTGGTAGTGAATCCGCAATAGAGCTCACGAAGGATCCTGATGTATTAAGTTTGTACGCCCTGATTGGCTAGGGCTTCCATGACCGCTTCCGTCTCAACAGAATCAAAGGCCTTTAAATCAATGAACGTTAGACAGAGCGGCATCTTGAACTCCCGAGATACCTCAATGAGCTTGGTTATTGTGTGGATATGGTCGATGGTACTGAATCCTTTTTGGAATCCAGCTTGTTCACATGGTTGTCCTTCATCTAGTGTTCTGCTAATCCTATTCAGGATGACTCGAGTGAATAGTTTGTAGATCACAGACAATAGGCAGATTGGGCGATAGTTGCCAATGTCGTGGATGTCTACTTTCTTGTATAGTAGTACAGTCCTGCTGGTTTTCCATTGGGATGGAACCTTGTATTCAGACAGGTAGCGTGTGAAGAGTTGAGCCAATGTATTGCTGAGTACTGATGGTAAGTTCTTCAGGTGTTCAGGTCTGATCTTGTCTGGGCCAGGTGCTCTTTGTTTCTTTACCGATGAGATGGCATGTTGGATTTCGGAAGGGAGAACATTGGGAACGACATATCCATCATGTGGTATGTGGTATGTGGGCAAGTGGATGTGGCTATTAAAGAGATCTGAGTAGAAGTCATGAATAATCTTCTCCATTGCCCTTCTAGAAGATGTGATAGATCCATCATGATGTCGGAGGGCAGTCATCTTGGTTTTGTAGTTGGTGAAGGACAGGCTGTTTTTCCCAGCTTCTGCTGCATCTACCAGTACTGCTGCTCTCCTGTTTTTGAGGTCATCCTTGATGGCTTCTCTGCACTGTTTTGCCAGTTTGGATGTTCGCTTGTGGTTGCCTGAGGCATGTGCCAAGCCACGTTGGCGAATAAGTTCAAGAGTGTTCGAAGAAAGACAGTTTTTTGTGGTTATCTCTCTCTTGGCATTCCTTGCACAATCATGGAGGTGCTGAATCATTCGATCGTATTCCTCATCAATGTTGTTAATGACAGCATCTTCCCATGTTGCCGCAATAGAGCCAAAGAGCTCCCAGTTGGTGGTTGTTCTGGGAGTCCTCTTCTTAAACCTTGCATTCTTTTCTTCTCGTTCTGTGAGGTAGAATTTTGCACGAAGAAGACGGTGGTCTGATCCTGTTTGGAATTTTGGGACAACAGCAACATCGGTTAGGCAAAACTGCCGATTGAATATGATATGGTCTATTTCATTGTGAAACCGTCCATCGGGAGACTCCCATGTCCAACGTTTAGATTCAGCCTTTTGGAATTGTGAGTTACCATGGAAGGTTTTGGTTGACATGATGAACTCAGACAGTCTGTCACCCTGTTCGTTCCATTCCAGGCCATGGGTTCCAATGTGGAGTTCATCGACTGATCTTCTTGGTCCTATCTTGGCATTAAAATCACCGACAATGATCTTGTAGAAGGTGTGATCTTCTTTATAGAACTTCTCCAGCTCCATGTAGAATTTCTCAGTTTCTCTTTCACCATAACTGGATGTCGGTGCATAGACAACAAAGATAGAAACTGCCGGTAGTGAGCCACATTTATTCAAGTGTAATCGTCCGATTCGGGTTGTTAGGCATTCGAATGAATCAATGCTCGTGACTAAGTTTGTGTTGACAAGGATACCGACACCACCGACGCCTCTTTTATCACATGTTCCAAGGAATTTATAGTAATATAAATTTTTCCATCCATTCATCTATCAATAAAACTCTTTAGTTGTTTCTATGTCTCGAGTCTTGTGTTTGATGAATCTATGAACACATAGTACAGATATCTTTTTGACATTAATACCATCATTTTTCCAAATATATGCATCAATGTTGAAGTTTTGGAACATATTATAGTTCTATTTTTAATTAGAGTGG